AGTGCCTACTCAAATCCAAGCATCCACTAAAAATAATGTTTAAATTGATAAAAATATACAATCAAAGTAGATTAATTTCTTTGTAAAGCTCACTGGAAAGAAATCCCTTAGAAATGCTGATTGGCTGAAAATATAATATTCAAGTAGATTTCTTACTATACTTTTCTTTTTCTTGCTGCTGCTGTATAATTTCTCTAAGTAGAAACAGCTTGAATTCATATTTTTTTCTTTGCTTAAAATGTCATCCATAAGAGAAATTGATTTTCTTATTTAAATTCTATTTACCCAGGTCCTGTTGTTTTTATAAAAAAAACACTTCTCAAAGCTCATAACTGTTCTACATTGAAATTGTTGTTTTTGTTGTTTTTTTTTTTTTGATGAAGTTTAAATTTGATTAGCATGCAAATGACAAAAAAGTTGGATTATGGTCATGCTAAAAATACAGGTTCTTGTCTGATTACCAAAGAATAAGCAGCAGTGTTTAACCTCTATGTCCACAAAAAGTGGGTGTCAAAAAAACGGTTATTCCCTTGACTCCCTCAGCAGTGTTTATTGTTTTAAAAAGCAATGATTAGAATTTTAATAAAATCCAAACATATGAAAGTAGATTTATACATTTTCTTTATTCTTGAGAATTGACAACAAAGTTATTAAACACTATTAGATTGAATAAAAAAAACTTGTTTTCATAGTTATTTGTTTATAAAATGCTAAATAATAAATCTTTATAAAAGGTAAATAATAAGTATCGCATTTTACATGGTTCACACATTCTTATAATCTTGTAAATAAACATTGCTGAGGGAATCAAAAGTGGATACAGTAATAGTGGTGTCAAGGGAATAACCATCCTTTTAACACACTATTTTTATGTGGGCACAAAAGTTAAATATTGTTGAATAAGCAATATTGTTCTTGATCAGTACTGAGCTTGTTAATTGTTTATAGTACACCAGATATTGTAAGCTAATTTGTGGCCTTGTGTCAGGCAAGCTAATTTGTGGCCTAACGTCAGAAGCAAATAAATGGCTAATAATTGAAAAGTTCCCAAGACAGTAGGTTATATTTCGAAACATGAGTTTTAATGTTGGCAGTAATATGTTTATGTATTTAAATGAGTACACTATATCAGATCAGATTTCATTTGGCAAGTAAGTATTTTCCCCCCAAATTAATATGAATCAACCAATGTTGGTAAAATTATCAGAAAATATTTATATGATTATTGTGGCCTTGTTAGGGCCAGAAATAAAGACACAAAGAGAAGAATTGAGTTAAACAATTATATTAGCAGAAACAGTAATACAAACATATAAAATGAGAGTGTTACAGCAAGAATGTTTGGTCTGACTGTCAGAGCTGACTGCTGGAAACTTCCCTTTTGAAAAGGTAGTACCTGCTCCTATTTATAGCCGGTAGAGTCCATGCATGCATGGGTAAATTACCATAACAATGATAAATATATTTTGTGAGTTTCATTTTATCACATCTATCCTTGGAAAAGTATTGATAACTTGTTTTGTGGATATCAAGATTTATTATACAAACAGTGATGTGCAGAGGTTTGGCAATGCCGAGTGCCAACTCCTTGACTGTATGTCCCTCAAGACTCAAGTAAAGAGGCTTGTAGGGCCTAGTACTGAGAAATGTAAGAAAGGAAGATATTTTAAATATGTAAAAACAGATGAAACATGAAATAAACACTTTATTTATATTAAATATAAACTAAATTTTTATTTCACTTTTTGACTGGATGCCTTCCCGATATGGATGCCTGGGGTTGTCACACCCCTTTCCCCACTTTCTGCATGCTACTGTATACAAACCAAATGCAACATAAATGTTTATTCATAAATAATTCAAAAAGATGTACACCAAAGAAACATATTTGATTAATACAATATACCATATACGTAAATGTTGGGGCACACCTACCTTCTCATCAGAATGGACTGATCTCTCTACTACTAATAGGACAGTTCTATAGAGTTCTGGGAGATCAGGTGACCATCACACTTCTGTCTCTCTACCGGAAGATACAGTTAGACTTTATACTCTTTCTGATTGTTACTGACTAACCTGTGTTCGTTTGACTACTAATCTCTCTGTTGTAAATACCTCTTCAGATATACCAGTATTTTTCCCTACGTATGTGTTTGTCCTTATTTCAATACATGCATGGGGAAACACTCAACATCTCAACAGTAAATAAATAATTTTATTTTTTCAATTTATTATGATCTTGACATTCTATAATCCAAACTGGTCTTGTATCCATTGACTTTGCTAACTTTTATTTGTTTTCAACTTTAATATTACAGTAGATTTTCTTATTACTTCCCAGTAGTTTTTATTACTTCTTTGCTTGACTATTGTTTCCAGTTCTCATATACATCTCTTTTAATAATGGACTACACATTTAACTTGTAAAAACAAGTTTTACTATTGGATTAGTTCTATCTGAAGAAGCTGAGGATCATTCCATTAATTTGGTGCCTTTGAAAACTTTTTAACAAGATAGGTAAAAATCAGCTTTTCAGAATGTGAAGGAGCATTTTCTTGCACAAATATGCTCTCTAGCTTTCTGTTACTCAAAAAATTTCTTGTCTAAATATTTAGAATAATTCTCAGCATTTACTTTGATATCATTATCAACTTTGAAGGTACTTATAATTTTACTGTCTACAATACTAGCATAAAGCATTAATCCCACTCACATCAGTTGTTTCCTAAAGCATGTTGATTGACTGTTTCTTTGAAGAACCTAACCTGTAGCCCAGCCATTATCTATATTCATCATTAAAAAATAATATTGAGAGATTAGTTTTCATGTATTGAGTTGGAATCAAAGTTCTGGCATTTTTTCAATAGTAGCATTGCACATATGACTGAAATTTACTAAAATTTGATATATATACATTTCTGAAAGGTGACCTTTCAATGCATTATTATATGATTCATGTGTTCATTTGTAAATTTTAAATGCTTTGATGCAAAAATGAAGGGAAGGAGATGCATTTCATCATTTGATGGTTTTCCAGAAAGGAAAAAACATTGTACAAACAACAAAAAAAATGTGCCATTTATGGAGATGGTGCTATAGCAGAGAGCACTTTTTGTAGGTGGTTTGTTAGGTTCAGAAGTGAAGATTTTCATGGAAGATTGTGAAAATTTCATCAGGCCTGCTGTCATTCATATGAAATGCTAATTTAATCTCAGTCACACAGTACAGAACAGTACAGAACATCCCTGAAACACTCTATATGCATCAGATGAGCATTGTAATTCATTTGGATATGTAAATTATGAGTGTATACCTGTTTGGGTGCCTCATGATTTAACAGAAAAAAATTAATGGATTGCATTTCCATTTGCCATTCTTTGCTCAAATGCAACAAAAATTACACATTTTTTAAAAGAATGATGAAAAATAGATTGTTTACTTCAATTGTCTAGAAGCCAAAAAAAAAAAACATATCATCCAGTTCATTACGCAGAAAGATGCCATGTTCTGGGTAGATAGAATCATGAAGTTACTTCAAAGATGGCAAAAGGCAGTGGAGCAAAATGGCACATACATGTTTGAATGAATCAATGTAAAAATATCTAAATATTGTCTTTGAAATTCATATAAAAAATGCTATGCACTTTTGTTCTAGTAAAATACTTTTTTACTCAGTTTATACACTTCTCTTTGTGATGTTTACTTAAATATGGTAATTTGGTTTAGCTTACATCTTTAGCTAATGATTTTAATATTCCACATCTTTTCTTTCTATTCCCAACATCAGCTTCAAATATTTTCTTGCTGATCAATTCAATTTTCATGTTGATTATCCTTTTAATTTTTCTCAAATTTCTTTTTGTGATATTTGTAAAGCCAGTTTTTTTTCTGGTTTTTATTTAGTCAATGTTTTCAGTTTCTTTTTTGATTGTTTCATGATCTCTGTTCAACTTTTATGCCATTTCTATTGTTGTGTTCTCATAAATTTACAATAGCCTGTTTCTCTTTTGAGATTATATCTTTCTTATGAGCCATTGTTATCTTTATGTATTGGAAATTAAAAATATAAATATCAATAACTATATTGTGCATTATATAATGTCAATATCTATAATATATATTAAGTATAGTATTATATATATATTTATTTATAGAATGATAAACAACCTTTTAATTACATAATAAGATCTTGTGCCAACAAAAAAGTTACTGTAAATATTTCTACAAAAAAAGATAAGCTGAAATTTACATGGTATATTTATCATACCATACCATATCATATATCAGTTGGTTGATAACAATTTTATTGTGCAAACATTGATTTGCATAATAAAATCTGACATAGTGTGTGCATGTATACATACACACACACACACACACACACACACACACATGCTCACACTATCCACTCAATGTATATACATATAAACTATTATTCAATTTGCATGAATATGTATACTTCTACATTTCTGTTAACCTTGAATCATACACACACATTCTTCTGTGATTCATATGTTCAATTTGTATACTTAATACCAGTATTATCCAAGATATGTTTATCTGTTGGAACACCTGATCTCACCCATAAAAGCCACACCGACCTATGAAAATCTTTAATTATATCTGCAACACAACCTCCATATTTCTACAGCAAGAGAAGCTGCCACACATATATATGTAATCACCCTCCCACACAAATACAATGAAAATGATTATGCAAAAGATTGAAAAACAAAAAAACAAAGCTGGAACTCATGTTGAAAGATTTCTCTATATTTTAATAATCAAAGAATCCTTCAGTGCCAAAAAAAATATGACTAACCAATTCTAAAGATCTTTCTCTTTTTTGTTTTCTTTCTTTTTACTCTATCCATCTTAAAGACCAGGTTTCCATCTTGTCTTCCTCATCTTGGTATCCTGATTTTCATGGTTCCAATTCCGTTGTCAGTTCCTCAGCACCTGGAATAACAGAACAAACAGAAAGACATTGACTGTGATGCAGGCACTGGCCGATTCACAGGAAGTACTCACATAGAGCAGTGCTACTAGCAAAAGTAGCAGTTGTTGTAGCAGCAGTAGTAGTAATAGTTCCTATTTTCTCAGTTTCACATCTATTTAGCCTTTCATTTTTATTTACTTAATAATTTATTTTCAACATTTTTTCATTTTTTTTCTTTGCCTTCTCCATTATTTTCTTCTTTTACTTTACCCAATCTTTGAAATCTTTCTCTTTTCTCTCCTTTTGTTTCTCCATTTTTTCTGAATCTTTTATTTTCATCATTCTCCTGATTTTGATTTTGATTTTTCACTTTGCCTTTTCTATTATTTTCTTCTTTTATTTCACCCAGTCTTTAACTTCTTTGTCCTTTCTCTTCTTTTGCTCTTCCATCTTTTTTAAGTCCTTTATTTTCATTTTTTCCACTCATTTTTTCCACTCATTTTTCTACATCTCCATTTTCTTCTTCCTTTTTTCTTCTGTTTTACTTGGTTCTTCTTATTCTTCTTTTCATACATTTTGCCTTGAATTTTCTTCTTCAATTGTATCATCTGCATTCATTTTACAGTCCTTTCTTTCCATGAATTTCTTCTTTTTTTCATTCTGTTCTCTTTCCCTTCTTTCTCTTCTTTCTCACCTCCTGTTTATATACCTCTATATTTCTTCATCATTTTTTATATTCTCCCTTGTTCTTTTCTCTTTATTTACTTCTTTTTATTGCTATCCTTGCCTCCTCACTTTTTGTTACCTTTTTAATTTGATTTTTTTTATATCATTTCTCTCTGAATTTCCTTTTTACATCTTTTTCTTCTTCATCATACCAGTTTTCTTTTTCTGCCTCTTCCTCCTTATTTAATCTCCCCTTCCCTCTTATTTTATTCCTTTTTTATTTTCTTCTCCTTTTTATTGTAAATGTTTTAACTCTTGTTATATTTTTATTTTTATTTTTTTTCTCTTCTGAGTTCATTTCATCACTTTCTTTTTTTCTTTCCTTCCATTTTATTGCCTTCTCCTTACCAATATATACTTTTTCTTTAACTCTTCTTTTTTTATATTCTTTCTTTCACCCTTTCTTCCTCTTATTCCAATGATTTATTTTCTTCTTTTTCTTCACTTAATCTTTTATTTTAATTTCTTCTTTTTCTCTACCCAGTTTTTAGGTCATCTTCATCTACTCCTTTCTCTGGACCTTTTATTTTTTAATTTTTTTTTCTCATTTTTTTTTATTCTTTTCTCTTTTCACCTAATTCTTATTCTTTTCTTTCACCATCCAATCTTTCTCCTACTTCTTCTTCCTCTCTCTCCCCATTTAATCCTCCTCCTTCACTTTTTTCTCCCACTCCCTGTCATTATTATAAAGAGATGAGTCATTTTTGCTCAATAGAAATGCAAAACATGCACATGGCTATATGTACACCTAGGTATGTGTAAATGTAAACATGCATGTTTTAAATATCCTATATAAACTCATTTAATTCTGCACACACACACACACACACACACACGTGTCTATGAATGTTTCCCATGACGTATTAGATTTTCAGGGTGCCATACTGAGTAATCCCCCTTCTCAGTTATATGGCACCAGCAGCAAGGAACAATCCTTGACCTGGCCTATTATCAAGCACCCAAGATAGATTACCTTTTCCAAGGCTAAAGGGCTCCAACTACCCTGCTATTTAACCATGACTGGGGATGGGGGACAATAAGGAGATTTATCCCTTTCTCAAGGACATTAGTACAAAATGAACATAAACTGTCCAAATCAGCATTTGAACTCAGTTTACTGATTTCATTCCCTGTATTGTCTATCATTAAGTCACTCATATCTCCCTACCCCACACATGTTTATGCAAAAAGTATGAGCAGCCCATTCATACATCATTCTTGTACCAGTAAAATCTATAATATGCAAATTTAATAGAAATAACTACCTTAAAAGAGTTTGAAATTTTTCAAAAAGGAAAGCTACATTCCTGTGAAGCAGTAGTTAGCAAGTCAACCATTACTAATTTTATGAGTTTGATCCTCACTCTTTACCCTGTACTTGGAGTCTTGTACTATACTAATTTAAGTTTAGTTAATATCAATTTTTCTAAGAGGAAATGGCAGGGTAGAGATAGTTGCTCATATGATAAAAATCTGGGATGAAACATATTCTGCTGTGTGCAATGAAGTATTTAAAAAAAATATAATTATTATATACCGTTTATGTAGTTCATTGTATTAATTGATAGAACTTATTAATGCATTAGTACTGGCTGTCCCATTTGTAGGATGGTAGGCATGAATAGGTTATAAGTAGAAGCCCATGACTGGTTGACATTAATTTCACTGTTAAAAAATAACAATGGGGTTTACCTTATTTACATTTGGACTACTGTCCTCATCTTTGTTGATGAGAACAATAGTCCAATTGTAAATAATGTAAATACCTCATCTCAGAATTTCAGACAGGAAAAAACAGGGATGTCTGCTCAAATATGTGTACCCATTAAATATAATGTTTATTATAATAAAAGATCAGAACTGACAAATGGATTAAAAAAATGTTAAAACTTTCATTTACATGAACAAATACACTTACAATCTGTGACCCAAAATGGCTTCTTCTTCTTAAAAAGAAATCATTGACAACAAGGTTCTTTATTTCCTGGTGGAGTGATTCTAAGAGAGATGTGTGAAATGTACAGCAAGGTATGGGAAACTGTGCGTAGCTTGACAAATGGACAGATTGATCAACCTGTTCAATTTCCCAGAATTGTTTGTTTAACATTTCATATTTAGAAAATTTTGCTGGCAGGAAAAAATGAAGCAATTATTATAGTTGTATTTTAATGACAACTATAATACATTTAGATATATTAAAGATATAGACAATTACATTGCAACCAGGTATATACTGGCTTGATTTGGGTTTATTGCTGCCAATTGATTTGACCATTACTTCACAGGTCCATTTTTTTGGCTTAGCCATTTTCTGAATTTATAAACTTTTTGAAGCACTAAAAAAAATTGGTAAATAAACACAAAATTTTTTGATTTTTAAAAAAATATGTTTTTTAGCAAATTTCAGCATTCAAAGTATATTTTATACTAATAAAAAAGAAACAGATTATCAGTGGTGTGAAATTAAGGCAAAATTTACAGATGGAATAAGGCTATATATATATATATATACCCATCAGTCATTTTATTAGGTATAATCTTCTAGTACCAGGTTGGACATCCTTTCACTTTTAGAATAATCTTATTTCTTCTTAGCATGGATTCGATAATATTCTGGAAACACTTTCAAAACTTGGATCCATGCTGGCACTATAGCATCCTGCAATTCTTATAGATTATTTGGCTTCACATCCAGAATTTGAATTTCTCTTTCCACCACATGCCAAAATTACTTTATGGGACTGAAATCTGGTGACTGCAGAGGCCATTTTATTGTAGAAAACTCTTTACTGTGTTCCATGAACCAATCTGCCACTATTTGGGATTTGTGACATAGTATGGATCGATGCATTATAGTCATAAATTGAAGCACTTGGTAGGCTGCAGCCTTTAAACTATTCTTTATTGGTGTTGTGTTCTATTATATGGCAAAATAATATGCTCAATACTATTACACTACCACCATTACCAGACTGAATCATTGATACAAGGTAGGATCAATCCATACTTTTTTGTAGTTTACAACAAATCCCAACCCTACCATCTGAATGTCACAACAGAAGTCAAAACTCATCTGTCCAGGCAATATTTCTCCAATCTTCTATTATCCAGTTTTTCAGATCCTTAGCAAATTGTACCCTCAATTTCTTGTTCCTATCAAACATGATTGGCACCCAGTGTAGTCTTCTACTGTTGTAACTCATCTGCTTCAAGGTTCAATATGTTTTGCATTTATTCCTTGTAAGGAGTGGTTATTTGAGCTGCTGTTGCTTTTCTATCAGCTTGAGCCAGTCTGACCATTCATCCACAGAATTGCTGCTCACTGTAATTTTTTTTCTTTTTTCCAACCATTCTCTGTAAACCATAGAGAGGGTTGTGCAGGAAAATCCTAGTATATCAGTAGTTCTTTTTAAATAGTCATATCTGCCTGTCTGACATCAATGACTATGCATGAAATGAGATTCAGCAGGTTATTATGACCATATTTAAATTCCTCTATTTATCAAATTTTTGCTACATCATTGGCTGATGAGAAATTTGCATAAAAGAGCATTTGTTCACATCAACATTATTAATTGGCCAGTGAGTGTATGCATAATTAAAATCTGTTGCTGGTGATTTTATTATAAATTTGTCTTGCAATTAATTTTACTGTAGTAATGCACTGGAAATAATTTTATTATAGATTTGCATTATTGTCTAGTCAAGAATTATGTCAAGCTATCATATGTATAATTTAAATGCATGGCTGAGGATTTTACTATAGATTTAAACTGCAAATAATTTGATGATATAAATGTATTGGAAATGATTTTATTATAGAAATGCATTATTGTCTGTGGTCAGGAATTAAGACCAGTGTTAAAAAGCTATTATATATATAAATAGCATAAATACATTGAAAGATAATTGCATTGGTGCTATTTTTACTATAGATATCTATTATAAATGATTTGATGATAGAAATGCATCATTGTAAGTGCTCATGAATTAATGCAACCATGACTAAGAGAACAGGGTTATTGTATGCTTAATGTAAATACATTACTAATGATTTTACTAAAGAATTTTCATTGTAAATTATTTTAATATAATTCTACATTAATATCATTGGTTAAGAATTAATTGCTGAATGAACAAAGATTTTATATATATATATATTATATAAATGCATTGCAAATGATATTCATATAGAAATATATTGTAAAGGATTTTACAACAGGAAGATATTTTGTCAGTGGTCAAGAATTAGTGAAAGCATTACTATAACAATAAATATATAGAAATACTATGAAAATTAAGAAGAAATGGATGGTCAGAGATCAAGCATTAAGGTGAGCATGATTAACAATAAGACTATTAGATGTATAATCAAACCATATAATAATTATTTATCAATGTACATTTATATATTTCCAGTGTATTTATATATTTCCTGTCCCATCTGTAGTGGGAAAGGAGGTAAATCAACTTATGTTAGTAAATTTATGAGTGATTACTTCCCTTAGTCATTTTAATAGTCTATACAATTAAAATATTTATCTACATTTAGACAAAGTTAGTTCCCAGACAGTATGAACTATTTAATTAATTAGTTCCTTTACTCCTATGATTCTTACATTGCAGTCTTATTTGTTCAAGCTTTTCATGTGAAGCACTCAGATAACTTTGTCTATTAAGTGATCATCTTGCTTCAACTTGGTTTTTAAATTGGCTTTGTCATCACCATCTTTGTTATTCTGTTGCTAATCTTTTCTTCCAAGAGATATATACATTTCAATGTTATATTAAACATATAACATTTTTAACATGGAAAGATATTGACCAAAAAAGTAACCTGTATAATACCAGAAGTAGTCAATGAAGCATAGATACCATTGAACATCTAAAAAATATAAAGGGAATGGATTAATTAAACAGTTAATTGGCCTCTATTTTAGTTGTCAATTCTTATTGAGTGCCTATTTAGTTTCAAGACTTTTGTTTCATTGCATTTCAATATTAAGTTTCTAATATTTGCTGTCATTTTTGATGGCACGGATACACTATTATTTATAATAAAGCAAATAATCAGTAAATTTATGTCATGGTCAATATAAATCTCATAAGTAGTCACTGTGTTCTCCATGATCTCTTTGATGAATGTATAGTGTGTGCTTTGCTAAGGCTACATACAATTTTGAATTCAGAATTGTCCTTCTCTTAGACTGGTTGTCAAATAATGCTAGTTTGCCCTCCTATTTAACCCATAACTTGGGGGAGAAGAAATGGATTCACACCTTTCCCAAGGGTATTTGTGCAAAAGTAAATGTAATGAGCTTGACCAGAATTTGAACTCATCTCTTTGATTTCTCATCCTGAATCTCTACCCATTACATCCTCTGCACATGCTTAAATATAAATAATTGTTTGTAATATTTACTGAGTTTATTTTACTATGTGTTTTTCTATGTAAATATTTTTATAAAATTATAAAATTATGCAATAATTAAATATAGACATAATTTTAGTATAAAATATATTTGCTTGAATATATAATAATTAAATAAAATGGATAAATAAGTAATTCAAAATAAACTAGTAAATAATTATTATGCTTGAATATTATGATAGTTTAAGTGTCTTTGTTTTCTGAATTATGGAGGCATGGTGGAGTAGTGGATAGCAGCTCGAATTGAGGAATCAGAGAGCCGAGTT